CTATTCTATTCTATTCTATTCTATTCTATTCTATTCTATTCTATTCTGACCATTTCAGCATCCCCATGGTCATGTGATTTACATTTGAATGCTTGACAACTGACTCTCATTTATGACAGTTGCAGTGTGCAACAGGATTCACCGTTTTGTGACCTTCTGACAAGCAAAGTCAATGGGGAAACAGGATTCATTTAACAACTGTGTTATTAATTTAATAACTGCAGCGATTCACTTAACAAATGTGGCAAGAAAAGTAATAAAATGGAGCACTTAAGCTTACTTATCAATTTTCTCACTTAGGAACATAAATTTTGGGCTCAATTGTGGTGGTAAGTTGAGGACTACCTGTACTTATCCACAAAGTCTTTGAAAGTATTTGTATTAAGATGAACTGGCGCAGCCTGTCCTACTGTCTTTAGTATATGTATGTCTGTGTACATATTAAACACATACACACACACACACACATACTTCCAGTGATATTGGTATGTGATTGCTGTAATGGAACTTCCTTCAAAGTTAAAAGCTTAAATAAAACAACCTTAAATATAACAATTTTTCAGGGCTCCAGCACTAGTCCTGCCAATTAGGACAAGTGTAAAAACCGAAAATAAAGTCTCCTTCTACTCAAGCTTATTTCCTGGTATCTATATAGATACATCCATGTAGCTTTTCTTAGCAACAATACTCAATACTGAAAATATTTTCATTTCTGTTTTTCACAGCAGATATGGCAGTTTCTTCAAGGTTAACAACATGGATGCTATTGTTGTACTTTATGTCAACAATAAAGTACTATGTGCAGTGGAGCACATAGTAACACTTTAGCTGTAATACAAAATAATAAACATAATGACAAGAAAATGTAACCTTGTTGTAACATCTCTTCTCAGAAAATTCACTTAATTTGATTTTGATAAAAAAATATGGGCACCACTAATTTAAATGAGTATTAGTGCAGAAAATTCTTCTAATATGTATTATAAAGTGGGCAACTATAATAATTTGTATGAAATAAATATGAAATAAGAAAGTGAAAACATAAAATTGTTGTATATGAAAATATAAGCCAATTCAAAAAGATTAACAGAAAAGATTTTTCCTGTAGTTTTTTCAGTTATAAGCAAAGAGTCAAACAATTTTAAAAAAATCCATAAGCACATTCCTGTTTTCCTTTTAATATTCCTCATATCAATAATTCACATACCATTAATCACTGGAAACACCAATAGAGTGCAAACTAGCTCAAATGCTGTTCACAAACACTTGCAGAGGTATAGAAATAATGCTAAACATTTACAGATACATGTAATGTTACAAATGTATTATTCCCACACAAAAATCTATCCTTACCCCAAGTAATGTCAATCATATCTTAAGCAAAATTGCTTTAGCTCCATTTCAGAATCAAATTAAAATTTAGATAAAAAAACTAATAAAAAAATTAAATATACATGATTATTAGAGATCAGCCATGATAACCCTGTCATAACCTAAGATCCATTCCCCAAGTAAATTATAGTGAAACTTCCTTCTGCTTAAAATTAGCTTGACTTGTTCAATATAGGTCTTCAGGAGATCCTTTAAAACATATTTTTTTAGCTCTGGAATTAACAACTACAGGATCTCCAAAAGTTCTTTCATACATCTATTGGTGGCGTTTATCAGCAAAAACTATAATTTGCATAATGTTTCTTTCAGTTATATATGTTCCAAGTAAATAAATACTTGTAGTAAATAATAAAGCCTAATATATATATATATATATATATAGTTGGCAAGGATATTATGTATTGTTCCTTGTAATAATTAGGTTGACAAGCTTGTTCAACCTATTATGTTCTACCCTAGCAGATTCTCCAGTTCTTTAAACAGAATGTTTTTGTTTTAAACAAGTCTTAGGCCACTTATTTCAAGATCAGCAAACTACTATGAGGACTACAATTCCCATCACTCTCTTTCCACTGTTTATGCAGACTAAGCCTGATTTAGCAAAGAACACATTACCTCCACCACACTACAATCAAGTGAAAAAGAAAGTACACCCTCTTTGAATTCTATTATTTCACATATCAGGACATAATAAAAAAAATCTGATCCTTAACAATTCTTAAAAGTAGGTAAATACTTTTTGTAAAATGAACAACAATGTGAAACATATTATATACCATGTCATCATTTTACAAAAAGCAAGCCAAAATTACTATGTCTTGATAAGTAAAACCATGGAACCACTCAATATAAAGATTGGAAAAAATAATTCATTTTTTGACTGATTTTTAATGTGGAGCTTGACCAATAAGGAATTGAAATTCACTTTTCCCTTCTTTCCTTTTGTATGTTGAATTTAAATATTTCCTTATCAGTCAAGCACACTACAAAAAAAATCAGCCAAAAAATGTTCACTGACTCCCCTACAACTGTTGATGCTAATACAAGTGATAGATTGCAAGACTCATTCCAAACTGTTCATTTTCAGAACTGTATCTTCATCTTTGTAGATACTTACGATAACCACATTTCTTGCACCCTGCCCTGATATTATCTTTATTTCCACCTAAAAAGCCAAGCAGATTTCTTATTAGTTTGTGGACATTCTAGAAATATTCAATGTACAGGAAACTTCTTGATGTAACAGTCCCAATAATTATTTTGTACATTTTACCTTCCCGTGCAGTGCATAATAAAAATAGCAACCACCTATAATTACAACAGTTAGTGCCAAATTGTGGCTTGTTACACTGATCTCATAAATTAAATCTCGGAGCCAGGTTGTTCCTTAAATAAAATGTTGACACTGGGCTTGCAGCATTTTTATGTAATTAAGTTCTACAACAGAGAACCACTTTTTCTACATTAGACTGGCAGAATTAAACTGCCTTTTCTATTTGCAGCTCACATTAAATTATACAGTGACTTAGTGCTACTTCTAGGCAAGTATGGGATAAAGGCACAATATAATGAAAAACTCCAAGCAATGTATAAATTACTGTTTCCTAGCAATGTATAGAACATATGGAGCTGATGAGCTCCAGTTGACATAAAACAGGAACAACCACAATTGTAAAGAATTTGGCCAACAATTAACATATGAATTAAAACAGGAGAATAAGATATCCTATCTTCCTGAAACTATTATTTGTAAAATTGAAAACATTTAGAATATGTCAAGTTATTTTTAAAAATCAGTACTGATATACACAGAAAGAACATTTAGGCACTCACTCAAATATAATAAAAAACAAGTAATCAATGATTGCATAAACTGAGCACTATACTTACAATTTTTTTAAAAAAAGTAGCTACATGAATCTATTTCTCTATAAATTATAAGAGACAGATGTGAATGAAAGAATTGTGCTGATACTTCTAAGTTTAAAAACAGTTGACTATCTCCAAAGACCATCTTGAGAGCTGACATAATTTTCTGAAGTTACATGGGTATGGAAATAAGACTTGCTTTATATATGAAAAGTGTAAATAGCTTTTCCCAGTGCAAATACAATGTCCAGTATTTTCTATAGCTATCTAGATCATTTTTATTTATTTATATTCTACCTTTATTATTTTTATAAACAACTGAAAGCAAACTTCTTCCTCCCATTTTCCCCACAATCACCACCCTGTGAGGTGAGTTGGATTGCTTTCATGCCTAATGCAGGATGAGATCTCAGTCTCCAGATCAGCCTAGCCTGGTGCCTTAATAACTAGACCAGATTGGTTATATTGCTAAAATGTGTCTATTAGCATCTAGATATCTGAGGTTTAAAAACTTCTGGAAGGGCTATAATAAACCTAGCACATTCTTCCACTTCTTGTTCAGCATCAGACAGGAACTGGAGGAGAAAAATCAAGCAATTTTGTTTTTCAATGGGTAAGACCTTCCTACTTTGAAAACTATTGACCAGGTACATTTAACTTGCTGCACCTGCCTGTTTTCATTAACTAATCTTTTTCTAACTCCTTCTGTCTTGTTTTCTTTTAAAATATTTACTTTTATTGAAGCTTTGTTATTCATAAGCCTACATCCGAGGGGCACAACATAAATGTTAAATTAAATTGCACCTGTATTGCCTCAATGAAAGAACAGAAAGAAACCAGCATCCATAGCTGCCTCTAAAATGTCCTTCAAATTAAGCTTCCAAGCATATAGTTTTCAGGCAAGCATTTCAGAAGTGGGTTGTTAATGCTTTCTTACAAATATTCTTTTGAATTTGCCTGTAGTTGGCGATTTTCTAATGGCTCTCATCAGAGTACTAATCAGGTCTGACCCTTTATTTCCGAGCCATCCAGAATACTGTTGTCATGTTAACGGAAGTCAACCCTACAGGTAGTCCTTGGCTTCCAACCATTCATTTAGTAATAATTCAGTTATGGCACTGAAAAAAGTGACTTATGACTAGTTTTCACACTTACAACCATTGTAGCATCTCTATGGTCACATGATCAAAATTTGGATGCTTGGCAACTGGCATGTTTTTACGCCAGTTGCACTGTCCCAGGGTCATGTGATCGCTATTTGTAAGTATTCCAGCTGGCTTCCAACAAGCAAAGTCAATGGAGCAACCTGGATTTGCTTAACAACTGCATGATTCACTTAATAACTGCAGTGATTTAATAACTGGCAAAAAGGTCATAAACTTAACTGTCTTGGCTAGCAAGAGAAATGTTGGGGTCAATTGTTGTAAGTTGAAGATTTACTGTACTGTTATATACCTTGAATTTATCCTGGTGCTCTGTACTCTGGAAAGAATAACTGAACAGCCCAATTCCTGCTTCTCTCCACTTCAAATTATCATGTTTACAAAATACCATTGTGTGTAAATTTGTATGGGGTATCAAACAGGAAGTATATTAAAGAATGCCCTAAAGTTACATAAATCCGTGTATTTGAGGGGGGGGGGGTTCTTCTGCCAAATATTAATATTTAACCATCTGGATAATAGAATATAAAACTGAAAGTTCAAACTTGTGATCGTGAAGTTTATAATACTAGGACTAACCATTTTATTTTTAAAATAATGGGTTAAAAACCTTTCAGTTAAAATCTTAATTAAAACCTTCCATATTAAGTTAGTGAAAATGTAAATATAAACAAACAGTTCAACAGACATTCAGCATTTTCATTAAGTCAAAACGTAGTTTGACTGTCTGCGGTTTATGATTTGTGTAATTCCAGTTAGTATGGTTTCTAAACTGTTTGATAGTTTACTAGGTATCTGATGATGATCCTTTATCCCCAGCTTGGCTAACCTCCCCAAATGCAAAAAGCAGGATAGGACTGGGCTGTCGACCACTCTATATAGGCTTATATATAGGCCAGGGTTTCTTACACTTCTTGCTCTCAGGCCTGCTTCTCACTTTTACGGAGCACTCCACAAAAGCTTTGATGTGCACGGGTTATATTGATCAACATCTACAGCGTTAAAAAGTTAAAATTGGCACATTTGTAGATTTCCAAATCACGTAAAAATCGCATTAAACATGTTAGATATTAACACCAATAAACTTATTTTTTTTCATGGGAAACAACCCCTATACACCTTTAACAAACAAAACGTAATAATAAAGAGGAACTGTTTTAAATGTTTGCAGACTATCTTCAACATCTGGCAAATAACGCTGATGTCGCGGACCCCCGAGAGGGACCCCCTCCTCGGACCCCGCTTTTAAGGAACCCTGGCCGCGATTTAATGAAGCCCAGGCTTAACGTAGGGATAGAAGTAACGGCAGCTTAGCCGGCCATCGAGCGGCAGTCGAATTCATTCACTACGACTGTTTTTCAGCCGCGCCTTCCTCGCTTGCACTCGTCTCCCAGGCTCCTCCGGCAAAAGCCGTCGCCCTGAGTCGCGTTTGAACCCTGCGTAATCTCCCCCGTATGCATCCCTTTTTCGACCGCTCACCTGGCAACGCCATTCGCCCCCGCACAACCCTCCCCGCCTCTAAGCCTCAACTAACTCCGGTCAGACGAGCTCGCGGGGGCAGCGTTCCTCGCTGAGGAACTTTGACCCGAAACGTTGAAGGGCTGAACCATTAAGCAGCGATGTGTGGGGGGGTGGGGTGGAGAGGAAAGAACTAAGAGGCGGGAAGCAGCAAAAGCTTTCCTTCCTGACTTGCTGGGAGAGAGAAGGAGAGCACCATCATTCGGCTCTGTCTCTTTGTTGATTCCTGTCTGAAGGTTGTTCAAGTCAAGTCCGAAGGTTGTTCAGTCCTGCGGTAGAGACCACTTTTTCCACCACCCCTGCCAATACCAGAGTTTTCTTCTCCTGAGCCCTTCCCACTAAAACAGGGGTCTCCAACCTTGGCCGCTTTAAGCCTGGTGGACTTCAACTCCCAGAATTCCCCAGCCAGC